CTCTGAACAATCCAAGCGACGTCAAATCCTAACTTCTGAATACTAGATTTTGGACGAGTTATATCCCTCAGTATTTACGCAGTGTTAATACGTACGTAGAGATATCTTGGCTTTTTTGAAACGAAAATAACCGAGACAAGAGAATAAGTTTTCACTGTTTTTAGTTTGATTGAAATACAAGCTCCTTGCTGTTTGAAATCTTCACGTTGCGCGCTAGAGTATAATGAGAGTGATTACGGAATCCGCTGTTCTTTTTCAAACACTCTGACCTATAATTTACGCTGGACTATCAACTCGATGAGACGTATTTGTTGTAAACCTGGACCAGGTGCGGTTTTTAATTTATTTCTTGTGTCAATGCGTCTGGTAGTGTATTTGAGACTGCAATCAAAGAAATACGGAATATTGGATAAAGAGTTCGTCCTTGGAACTGGATAAGGACTATCACTGACTGATAATTTTTGAGTGTTTTTTCTTCAATTGCTTCGCCGAGTGGGTTCGATTCCTTAGTGGCAGTTACGGTATCGGGACATTATCACAGTTCCTGTTTATTATATGAACATTTACATCGTGTGTACAGTTGGGAAAGGTTTTGTGCTTAAACAGTGGGAGATTTAGAAACTTTATATTGGTATATTTGTGCAATTTACTGTCTCTGAGAGTATTTTCGTACTTTTGTCCGTTGGCGCGCGTGCGTCGTCATTTTCAAAATACAGTGGTTGATTGCGCGATTGCGCGCGTAAATGAGAACGATGTTGCAACCAAGAGGTCAAGATTTCCCTTGTCATTTGTGTGAAAGACGTTTTGGAACTGAACGCGGGCGATCACTACACCTAAAATGTTGTAGAAAAAAACACTCTTCCGGTGAATCGATGCCTGTAAACGATACAACCGTATCAAATTCTACAGCCAGTACTATTTCAACATCGTCACAGTCAACGCAGATTTGGGGATGCCACACGAACGATGACCTGAAGCAAATCGTAAATAGCATCTACGAGGAGATCGTCTTCTGGCGAAAAAATATTTTTATGCTACCGAGTGGAGCTGCCGGAAAAGCCTTTATTAAGGAAATAACTCGGATCATTGATGCTTGGAATAGTTCGGCAACAAACTTGTCTGAAATTTCCTTGAAACTAGTCATGATTATGCCAGCCGTTCTACTGCAGAAACCAAGATTTAAATCAGGATCTAAAGAACACTCACTTTGTTTGAAACGACGCCTAGAGTTGTGGGAACGTGGGGATTTTGACACATTGATGCGTGAATGTAGATCTATTCAGGCAACATTAAGATCCAACAAGAAGCCTAATATGAACCACCTATCTAAGACATTCGCCAGCCTCATGTTACGTGGTAAAGTAAACGCAGCCTTGCGCTTGCTGGATGAACAGTCATGCGGTGGCGTGCTACCTCTGTCAGATGAAGTGCTTGATGAATTACGACTAAAACATCCTAATGGGAAAGAAAGTAACCCATCTGTAATGTTGGAAGGTGAATTACCATTTGTGGATCCAGTGTTGTTTGAGAATATTGATGAGTCAATGATCACCAAGGCCGCTATGAACACCAATGGCGCAGCTGGTCCGTCAGGATTGGATGCTTTAGGCTGGAGACACATCTTGGTTTCTCGTAACTATGGCAATGCTGGGAAAGACCTCCGTTCGTCTATTGCCACCATGGCAAAGGTCCTTGCTACCAAGAAGATGGACGTAGCAAACAATCAGTCAAAAAGCCTTGAGGCCTACCTCGCGTGCCGTCTTATTCCTCTCGATAAGAACCCTGGTGTGCGCCCTATTGGAATTGGTGAAGTCCTTCGTCGCATCATCGGAAAATCGATAATCTACACCATCAAGCCTCAAATAGTAGCAAGCGCGGGACATCTGCAGTTATGTGCTGGCCAACAAGCTGGTTGTGAATCCGCTGTACATGCGATGTCGCACATCTTGACGAAGAAGAGACGGATGCCATGCTACTGGTAGATGCTGCTAACGCCTTTAACTCTGTCAATCGCAAGGTGATGTTGCACAACATCCAATACATCTGCCCAGCGATTGCGATCTACGCGTTTAACTGCTATGTTCAGCCATCTCGTCTCTTCGTTCAGGGAGGAAAGGAAGTCTCTTCATCTGAAGGGACAACTCAAGGGGATCCTATCTCGATGCCTCTATATGCTATCGCAATCACCCCTCTTCTTGAACTGATTAAGGATGACACAACCAGTTCCGTCCGACATGTTGCATTCGCAGACGACCTCAGTGGTGCTGGGAAGCTACTAGATCTTCGACGCTGGTGGGATAACATCACAAAACACGGTCCTCTGTTGGGTACTATCAACGGGGTGATAAGTCTTGGTTGATTGTCAAACCACATTCGTGGAAGCAGCAGAAGAAATCTTCGCAGGAACAGATGTTCGTGTGACAGTGGAGGGCCACAAATATCTTGGTGGTATGTTGGCTCTGATGAAGGCAAACGTGATTACTTGCGTTCATTGGTGGACCGTTGGTGCAGCCAGCTTAGTATCTTGAGTGACATCGCTAAACATGAACCGCAGGCAGCCTATACAGCATTCGTCTCAGGTTTTCGCCATCGCTTCACGTACCACATCAGAACCATACCAGGTATTGAACAGGAGCTCCAGGCCGTTGACAATGTCATCAACAATAGATTTCTACCAGCCATCACCGACGGTCGACATCTATCTTCGCATGATCGGAAACTTCTGTCGTTACCTACACGTTTGGGAGGCCTTGGAATACCAGTTCTTCATGATTTGTGTACAAAGAGCATGAGAATTCTGAACAGGTGTGTCAAGAGCTTACGAGGAAATCATCCATCAAAATGATGTTGAAGTTGTAAGCACTTTAGGAGAGCCTGTTCTGAACGTGCGTCGTCGTCTATCGGGACAGCGCGAGGCAAGGTACCGAGCCCAGCTAGAAGATCTGCGATCCATGATGACGGAGGAGGAGACCCGAGCAAATGACATCGCCCAGCTGAAAGGCTCGTCCACCTGGTTAACGGCTCTTCCGCTGGCTGAGGAAGGGTACGTGCTGAGTAAGCGGGAGTTCTTCGACGCCATCAACCTCCGTTATCGTTGGCAACTCAAGCGGTTACCATCACACTGCGCCTGTGGCAAGACGTTCACCGTAGACCATGCACTGTCCTGTCTGAAAGGAGGGTTCATCCACCGCCGCCATGATGAAATACGTGATCTTCTAGCAGCTACCATAGACGAAGTCACTCATGATGTGTCAGTTGAACCAGCACTCACTCCAACATCGGGCGAGCCCTTACCATCCGGGGCTAACACTGCTGATGACGCTCGTGTTGATATCGCTGCACGGGTTTGGTTAAGAAGTGAAAAAGCATTCTTTGATGTGAGGGTATTTAACCCGTATGCCTCGACACACCGAAACCAGAGCCTCACCAGTGCTTTCAATAAGAACGAGAGAGAGAAGAAGCGCCAATACAATCAAAGGGTGATACAAGTGGAGCATGGCTCTTTCACACCTATTGTTTTCAGCGCTTTTGGAGGCTGTGGCAGGGAAACCCAACATTTCCTCACCATGTTGGCGATAAGGTGGCGACGAAGCGACATCTGAGGTTGTCCGTCGTGATGAGCTGGCTGCGAAAACAGATCTCTTTTGCCCTCATCAGAGCACAAGTATTGTGCATTCGCGGATCACGTTCTTGGCGCCATGTAAATTCATCATCGAACATTGAACTGTCCGAACAATTATCAAATTTTAAAATGTAATATCTTTGACTATAATTGTAAACGTGTTGTGAAATCCGCTCCAGGATTACTTTTGATATGTGTAATACCTCAAGTTTGTAATTAAATATATGTCATTTTCTTATCAAAGAAATACGGAATAACGCATCCGGTAGGCATACACGAGGCTAACACTAAGTTTGATTGGCTCTCGTTAGTTTTACGTAACCAATCATTACGTAACCAACATTACGTAACTAATCATTACGTAACCAACCCAACCATTGTTCGGTAGGATTTCAAGTTTTGAAAACCTTCCTCAAAATGTGGTTACGTCACTGAGTCACGTGGCAACCAGCATAATGAAATATTTGGTTTTTTGGTACATTCATGTGATCATGTGATCAATTAGATTGTTCAACTTTGAACCTTCCTCACAAACCTCATTCAAAGCAAACCTTCCTCCGGGTGGTGCCCGCGTACCCGCAGCTTTTTTGCAACTCCGATTTGCAACTTTCCGCGTTTGGTCACTATGGTAGAGCTCATTGCTTTCTTTTTTTTTATTTTTTTTCTTTTTTTTATTTTTTTTTTCTCATTGCTTTCTAGTTAGAATACTTGTAATTTTTATTCAAAGACAAATATACAACAAAAACTTACAACATAAGATTATGTTCTGGAATGTCTACCATACCTTACAATATCAAAAAATATAATATTGTTTCTTGCTATGAACACACAAAGCTAAATGAGCCAACGTGGCTCCCTGAAGTTTCTTGAAATTCTTGAAACCAAAAATATGAACAAAAGCATTGTTAAAGCTAAATTTATCTAGTTAATGTTACCATACCATGTTATCTTCTGCAAAAATATTTTTCAGTTCCACTTCCGGTAAGGTTAATTAATTGGTTTGTCATTCCACCCATCACAAGATAAATGAAAGTCTTCATTCATTTTATCAATGTTGTGCTGTTTTGAAAATCTAAACTTCTCAATGACATCTTTCTAGATAGTGTGCATTCTTTATGTTTTTTGAAATTACCTAAAAAGTCTATTTAAAAAAACACCCTGTTCCTAGCTTTTTCTCCTCTCCAGTGTGTGTTTTTTATGTCTAAACAGACTAATGCCATTATAACAAAATTCCTTCTTACAACATCACATTCATAAGGTTTCTCTCAAATGTGTTTTGTTTCATGTGTAAGCAAATTACTGTGCCAAAAAATCTCTTATTACAAACATCATATCATAAGGATTCTCTTAGCGTGTGTTTTGATGACTAACCAAATGACTAACCCGTAAAAATCCCTCTTGATGAGTAACCAAATCACTACCCTTTAAAAATTCCTTCTTACAAATATAACATTCCTAAGGTTTCTCTCAAATATGTTTTCTTTGATGTGTAAGCAAATTACCAACCTGTGAAAATCCCTTCTTACAAACATCACTATCATAAAGCTTGTCTTGAGAGTGTGTCCTTTGATCAGTAACCAAATTACTACCACGTGAAAATTTCTTCTCACAAACATCACATTCATTAGGTTTTTCTCTAGTGTGTGTTCTTTGATGACGAACGAAATCACTACTATGTGAAAATGTCTCTCCAATGTGTGTCCTATGATGACTAACCAAGTTACTATGCCGTAAAAATCTCTTCTTGCAAACATCATATCGTAAGAATTCTCTTCAGTGTGTGTTCTTTGATGAGTAACCAAATGACTACCTCGTACAAATCCCTTCTTACAAACATAACATTCATAAGGTTTCTCTCAAATGTGTTTTCTTTGATGTGTAAGCAAATTACCAGACTGTGAAAATCTCTTCTTACAAACATCACATTTATAAGGTTTCTCTCCAGTGTGTGTTCTTTGATGTGTAAGCAAATGAGCAGCCTGGGAAAATCTCTTCTTACAAATATCACATTCATAAGGTTTCTCTCCAGTGTGTGTTCTTTGATGACTAACTAAATTATCAGCCTGTGAAAATCTCTTCTTACAAATATCACATTCATACAGTTTCTCTCCAGTGTGTGCTCTTTGATGTCTAACCAAACTAGCAGCCTGTGAAAATCTCTTCTTACAAATATCACATTCATAAGGTTTCTCTCCAGTGTGTGTTCTTTGATGATTAACCAAATTACTAACATGCGAAAATCTCTTCTTACAAATATCACATTCATAAGGTTTCTCTCCAGTGTGTGTTCTTTGATGACTAACCAAATTACCACCCAGTGAAAATCTCTTCTTACAAATATCACATTCATAAGGTTTCTCTCCAGTGTGTGTTCTTTGATGACTAACCAAAGCATTACTATGAGAAAATCTCATCTTACAAACATCACATTCATAAGGTTTCTCCCCAGTGTGTGTTCTTTGATGTATAACCAAGTTACTACCACATGAAAATCTCTTCTTACAAAAATCACATTCATGAAGTTTGCGTGTTCTTTCTCTTCTTGCAGGATTCAAGTTGCTCATATTGCTTCAGCCTCACTCTGAACAATCCAAGCGACGTCAAATCCTAATTTCTGAATACTAGATTTTGGACGAGTTATCTCCCTCAGTATTTACGCAGTGTTAATACGTATGTAGAGATATCTTGGCTTTTTTGAAACGAAAATAACCGAGACAAGAGAATACGTTTTCACTGTTTTTAGTTTGATTGAAATACAAGCTCCTAGGCCTTGCTGTTTGAAATCTTCACGTTGCGCGCTAGAGTATAATAAAAGTGATTACGGAATCCGCTGTTCTTTTTCCAACACTCTGACCTATATTTCACGCTGGACTATCAACTCGATGAGACGTATTTGTTGTAAACCTGGACAAGGTGCGGTTTTTAATTTATTTCTTATATCAATGCGTCTGGTAGTGTATTTGAGACAGCAATCAAAGAAATACGGAATAACGCATCCGGTAGGCATACATGAGGCTAACAGAAAGTTTGATTGGCTCTCGTTAGCTTTGCGTAACCAATCAAACATCAGGCTTTCCGCCTTTGGTCACTTTGGTGGAGCTCATTGCTTTCTAGTTAGAATACTTGTAATTTTATTATTCAAAGACAAATATACAACAAAAACTTACAACATAAGATTATGTGCTGAAATGTCTACCATATGTCTACCACAACTTACAATATTAAAAAATATAATATTGTTTATTGTTATGAACACACAAAGTTCAAGGTGGCTCCCTGAAGTTTCTTGAAATTCTTGAAACCAAAAATATGAACAAAAGCATTGTTAAAGCTAAATTTATCTTGTTAATGTTACCATGCCATGTTATGTTCTGCAAAAATATTTTTCAGTTCTACTTCTGGTAAGGTTAATTATTGGTTTGTCATTCCATCCATCACAAGATAAATGAAATTCTTCATTACTTTTATCAATGTTGTGCTGTTTTGAAAATCTAAACTTCTCAATGACATCTTTCTAGATAGTGTGCATTCTTTATGTTACAGACTACTACCATAAGAAAATTCCTTCTTACAAACATCATATTCATAAGGTTTTTCTCAAATGTGTTTTGTTTCATGTGTAAGCAAATTACTATGCAGTAAAAATCTCTTCTTACAAACATCACATTCATAAGGATTCTCTTCAGTGTGTGTTCTTTGATGACTAACCAAATCACTACCCCTTAAAAATTCCTTCTTACAAACATAACATTCACAAGGTTTCTCTCAAATATGTTTTCTTTGATGTGTAAGCAAATTACCAACCTGTGAAAATCCCTTCTTACAAACATCACTATCATAAAGTTTGTCTTCAGAGTGTGTCCTTTGATGAGTAACCAAATTACTACCACGTGAAAATTTCTTCTCACAAACATCACATTGATAAGGTTTTTCTCTAGTGTGTGTTCTTTGATGACGAACAAAATCACTACAATGTGAAAATGTCTTCTTACAAAAATCACATTCATAAGGTTCTCTCCAGTGTGTGTCCTAGGATGACTAATCAATTTACTATGCCGTAAGAATCTCTTCTTGCAAACATCATATCATAAGAATTCTCTTCAGTGTGTGTTCTTTGATGAGCAACCAAATGACTACCTCATACAAATCTCTTCTTACAAACATCACATTCATAAGGTTTCTCTCCAGTGTGTGTTCTTTGATGTCTAACCAAATTACCAGCCTGTGAAAATCTCTTCTTACAAATGTAACATTCATAAGGTTTCTCTCCACTGTGTGTTCTTTGATGACTAACCAAACTAGCAGCCTGTGAAAATCTCTTCTTACAAATATCACATTCATAAGGTTTCTCTCCAGTGTGTTTTCTTTGATGTGTAACCAAACTACCACCATGTGAAAATCTCTTCTTACAAACATCACATTCATAAGGTTTCTCTCCAGTGTGTGTTCTTTTATGGCTCAACAAATTACTATTGAGTAAAAATCGTTTCTCACAAACATCGCATTCATAAGGTTTCTCTCCAGTGTGTGTTCTTTGATGCCTAACCAAACTACTACCATGTGAAAATCTCTTCTTACAAACATCACATTCATAAGGTTTCTCTCCAGTGTGTGTTCTTTGATGTATAACCAAATGACTACCATATGAAAATTTTTTCTTACAAACATCACATTCATGAAGTTTGTGTGTTCTTTCTCTTCTTGCAGGATTCAAGCTGCTCATTGCCTCAGCCTCACTCTGAACAATCCAAGCGACGTCAAATCCTAACTTCTGAATACTAGATTTTCGACGAGTTATATCCCTCAGTATTTACGCAGTGTTAATACGTATGTAGAGATATCTTGGCTTTTTTGAAACGAAAATAACCGAGACAAGAGAATACGTTTTGACTGTTTTTAGTTTATAATTTTCTTGTATGATTGCATGGCGACTTATAATTAGGTACAAAAGTATAAATACTTAAAGCTTTCGTCCGTTAACCCGGACCTTCATCAGTGCAATTACTTGAATACACGTTTGCGCGTCACTTATATGTTAGTCGTGATTAGTTTGCTCGCGCTATTAATTAAACCGTTTCATTTAATTAAGTTCTAATCAATGCGCGCGCCCTAGACAAGTATTTGACTAAGAGACACCGAAAAGAGCACGCCACGTACTATTAAGTGGCTTTCCCTCTTGGACGATAGTTTGATGTTTATAAATTTCAATAGATTCTCTCATTTTACGAGAGACAGTAAACTTATCGTTTGCTAAAATGGTAGCATCGTTCCATTTAATGCGATGATCATAAGTCCACGCATGGTGAGCTACTGCAGACTTATCCAGTTTACCTTTCTCGCAGTTCGTCTTATGTTCTTTAAGACGTATTGAGAGATTTCTACCGGTTTCTCCAATGTAAACCAAACCACATTCACATGGAATGCGGTACACACCAGGTTTCTGTTGTTCATCGACGCCATCCTTGTGTGTGTAAAGAGCGCGAAACAATTTGTTATTGCTAGAATGGTAAACTTGTATTCCAACTTCTTTTAAAATCCTAACGATTTTATATGAAGCTGGGCCAATATATGGTAAACAGACAGAGGATAGATATTCCGTGTCTTGCCTCTGTCTTTGCTGTTCATTCATAGCATGTTCTATGAATTTCTTAGGATAACCATTCATGTGCAGAACATCCTTCAAATGCTTTAACTCTGAGTCAATGCTATTTGAATCACAAATTGTTTTGGCACGGTTGATTAATGTTTTGCATACTGATCTTTTAATGCTAGGATGGTGAAATGAACTATAATTCAGATATCTGTCAGTGTGTGTTGGTTTTCTATAAACTTTATGGCCCAAAGTCCCGTTCTCTTTTACATCAAATAAGATATCTAAGAAAGATATAGAGTTATCTTTCTGTATTTCTAATGTGAATTTAATTGAAGGGTGTATACTATTAAACCTGGTGTGTACCGCATTCCATGTGAATGTGGTTTGGTTTACATTGGAGAAACCGGTAGAAATCTCTCAATACGTCTTAAAGAACATAAGACGAACTGCGAGAAAGATATAGAGTTATCTTTCTGTATTTCTAATGTGAATTTAATTGAAGGGTGTATACTATTAAACCTGGTGTGTACCGCATTTCCATGTGAATGTGGTTTGGTTTACATTGGAGAAACCGGTAGAAATCTCTCAATACGTCTTAAAGAACATAAGACGAACTGCGAGAAAGGTAAACTGGATAAGTCTGCAGTAGCTCACCATGCGTGGACTTATGATCATCGCATTAAATGGAACGATGCTACCATTTTAGCAAACGATAAGTTTACTGTCTCTCGTAAAATGAGAGAATCTATTGAAATTTATAAACATCAAACTATCGTCCAAGAGGGAAAGCCACTTAATAGTACGTGGCGTGCTCTTTTCGGTGTCTCTTAGTCAAATACTTGTCTAGGGCGCGCGCATTGATTAGAACTTAATTAAATGAAACGGTTTAATTAATAGCGCGAGCAAACTAATCACGACTAACATGATATTTAAGTGACGCGCAAACGTGTATTCAAGTAATTGCACTGATGAAGGTCCGGGTTAACGGACCGAAAGCTTTGCAGTATTTAATACTTACGTGGTGTACCTACAAGTTATTATAATTGTTTTTAGTTTGATTGAAATACAAGCTCCTTGCTGTTTGAAATCTTCACGTTGCGCGCTAGAGTATAATGAAAGTGATTACGGAATCCGCTGTTCTTTTTCCAACACTCTGACCTATATTTCACGCTGGACTATCAACTCGATGGGACGTATTTGTTGTAAACCTGGACCAGGTGCGGTTTTTAATTTATTTCTTATGTCAATGCGTCTGGTAGTGTATTTGAGACTGCAATCAAAGAAATACGGAATAACGCATCCGGTAGGCATACATGAGGCTAACAGAAAGTTTGATTGGCTCTCGTTAGCTTTGCGAAACCAATCAAACATCAGGCTTTCCGCGTTTGGTCACTTTGGTGGAGCTCATTGCTTTCTAGTTAGAATACTTGTAATTTTATAATTCAAAGACAAATATACCACAAAAACTTACAACATAACACTATGTTCTGAAATGTCTACCATAACTTACAATATCAAAAAATATAATATTGTTTATTGTTATGAACACACAAAGCTTAAGGTGGCTCCCTGAAGTTTCTTGAAATTCTTGAAACCAAAAATATGAGCAGAAGTATTGTAAAAGCTAAATCTATCTTGTTAATATTAATGTTACCATACCATGTTATGTTCTCCAAAAATATTTTTCAGTTCTACTTCTGGTAAGGTTAATTATTGGTTTGCCATTCCATCGATCACAAGATAAATGAAAGTCTTCATTCATTTTATGAGTGTTATGCTGTTTTGAAAATCTGAACTTCTCAATGACATCTCTCTAGATAGTGTGCATTCTTTATGTTTTTTGAAATTGCCAAAAAAGTCTATTTCAACAGATTCTCTGTTCCTAGGTTTTTACTCCTCTCCAGTGTGTGTTTTTTTTATATGTATGAACAGACTACTACCATAAGAAAATTCCTTCTTACAAACATCACATTCATAAGGTTTCTCTCGAATGCGTTTTCTTTCATGTGTAAGCAAATTACTGCTCTGTGAAAATCTCTTCTTACAAACATCACATTCATAAGGTTTCTCTCCGGTGTGTGTTCTTTTATGGCTCAACAAATTACTACTCTGTAAAAATCGTTTCTTACAAACATCACATTCATAAGGTTTCTCTCCAGTATGTGTTCTTTGATGACTAACCAAATTAGTAGCCTGTGAAAATCTGTTCTTACAAATATCACATTCATAAGGTTTCTCTCCAGTGTGTGTTCTTTGATGTCTAACTAATTGATAACCACATGAAAATCTCTTCTTACAAACATCACATGCATAAGGTTTCTCTCCAGTGTGTGTTCTTTGATGGCTAACCAAATGACTACCATGTGAAAATCCTTTCTCACAAACATCGCATTCATGAAGTTTGTGTGTTCTTTCTCTTCTTGCAGGATTCAAGCTGCTCATTGCCTCAGCCTCACTCTGAATAATCCAAGCCGACCAAGCGACGTCGAATCCTAACTTCTGAATACTCGATTTTGCACGAGTTATATCCCTCAGTATTTACACAAAGTGTTAATACGTATGTAGAGATGTCTTGACTTTTGTGAAACGAAAATAATCGAGACAAGAGAATACGTTTTGGGTGTTTTTAGTTTGATTGAAATCCAAGCTCCTTGCTGTTTGAAATCTTCACGTTGCGCGCTAAAGTATAACGAAAGTGATTACGGAATCCGCTGGCGCTGTTCTTTTGAACACTGACCTATAATTTACACTGGACTATCAATCGTTATCGAAAAAAGGTGATTAGACTTCCGTGAGGCCAAAAAGTGAAGCCAAAGATGGCGGAAATTGAAGCGCTATTGTACGTCATTTTAGTCTCCTGCGTGGAAACATTTGAGACTAAACAAAATTTCTTATTCATGTTGTGGATATTATCCCAACAGAGTGCTTAGGCATTCAAACTCTAACAATTACATTATTATGGGTGATTTTAATAGTTTTCGTTTTTTGAGACACCCTGTAAACATTTCAAGTATACCTCTAATGCACCACGACCGATGCGATCCGATTTGTAATCATTGAAGAACGAAAAATTACATCAATTAAACTAAACGGATTTCCGTAGTTATATTTCCTGCATCCAGTGTATTAACAGATCAGTGGGCTGCATGCGCAGAACCAGAATTCACTGGCGCAGAAAAAAACACGTGAAAGGAAATTAAAAAAATCTATATTACTTAACTGGTTGATGCGTAAGCATATTACCTTTCTGTGAAAATCTCTTCTTACAAACATCACATTCATAAGGTTTCTCTCCAGTGTGTGTCCTTTGATGTCTAACCAAATGACTACCCTGTGAAAATCTCTTCTTACAAACATCACATTCATAAGGTTTCTCTCCGGTGTGTGTTCTTTTATGGCTCAACAAATTACTACTCTGTAAAAATCGTTTCTTACAAACATCACATTCATAAGGTTTCTCTCCAGTATGTGTTCTTTGATGACTAACCAAATTAGTAGCCTGTGAAAATCTCTTCTTACAAATATCACATTCATAAGGTTTCTCTCCAGTGTGTGTTCTTTGATGTCTAACTAATTGATAACCACATGAAAATCTCTTCTTACAAACATCACATGCATAAGGTTTCTCTCCAGTGTGTGTTCTTTGATGGCTAACCAAATGACTACCATGTGAAAATCCTTTCTCACAAACATCGCATTCATGAAGTTTGTGTGTTCTTTCTCTTCTTGCAGGATTCAAGCTGCTCATTGCCTCAGCCTCACTCTGAATAATCCAAGCCGACCAAGCGACGTCGAATCCTAACTTCTGAATACTCGATTTTGCACGAGTTATATCCCTCAGTATTTACACAAAGTGTTAATACGTATGTAGAGATGTCTTGACTTTTGTGAAACGAAAATAATCGAGACAAGAGAATACGTTTTGGGTGTTTTTAGTTTGATTGAAATCCAAGCTCCTTGCTGTTTGAAATCTTCACGTTGCGCGCTAAAGTATAACGAAAGTGATTACGGAATCCGCTGGCGCTGTTCTTTTGAACACTGACCTATAATTTACACTGGACTATCAATCGTTATCGAAAAAAGGTGATTAGACTTCCGTGAGGCCAAAAAGTGAAGCCAAAGATGGCGGAAATTGAAGCGCTATTGTACGTCATTTTAGTCTCCTGCGTGGAAACATTTGAGACTAAACAAAATTTCTTATTCATGTTGTGGATATTATCCCAACAGAGTGCTTAGGCATTCAAACTCTAACAATTACATTATTATGGGTGATTTTAATAGTTTTCGTTTTTTGAGACACCCTGTAAACATTTCAAGCATACCTCTAATGCACCACGACCGATGCGATCCGATTTGTAATCATTGAAGAACGAAAAATTACATCAATTAAACTAAACGGATTTCCGTGGTTATATTTCCTACATCCAGTGTATTAACAGATCAGTGGGCTGCATGCGCAGAACCAGAATTCACTGGCGCAGAAAAAAACACGTGAAAGGAAATTAAAAAAATCTATATTACTTAACTGGTTGATGCGAACTAACAAACATTTGAATTCTTTCTCTCACTTTACCGCTTAAATTTGAAAAAATGTTCTGAATGAGTAAAATAACGTTTTATGCGCGGAATCAGTTGTTTAAAATATTATCGCTTACTATATGAAGCTATAAAAAAGCTTTCAGTTTGGTTGTCCAATTAATGCAATAGCTTGCAACTTATTGAAAAATCAAGAAAGACGAACCTTCAGCCAAGAATAAATTTCTCTGTGTACTTCAATTTCCTACATTCATACTTATCCACTTCATCTTATAACTAAATAACAAAAGTAATACATACACGCTTGTTTAGGATGCCTCTGCATTCTAGATAGACAAAAACTTCAAGATCTGTCCGCGTTTTCACATTACTTTTTGAATGGCTGATGGTCTGAAACCAACACAGTTTTGTTCAAATGCACACTGGTCCTTTTCGTTAATTTCCAACTTCATCCACAATCTCTTCAGTTTTTTCATCAATTCTATACGCTGTTGATGGTTGCTCTTTTGACGTTTTTCAAGCTAAACAAACAATCAATTTTCTGCATTTTTACCTCCTTATAACAGCGAAAACAAAGTGTATGAAAGTTTACCTCGACTAAATGTTCTTTCAACTGTATCAAGTTTTCTTTTGATAAAACATAGGTTTCTTGTGAATTTTCTGTGGAAATTTCTGCAAATTTAGTTGTCATTTCATCAATTTCTAGTTCTTTCCAAAGTCTTAGGATTTTCTCACGAGCATCTTGAAAATGAATTCGAGCTTGTGCCTGCATGAATAAGATGCAACATTCTTTTGGGTTTTATCAAGTACGATAGAGCGTTAGTGCTAGGCTACAGGTGTAATATTTGTTCTTTGCATTACCGCAAGTCAAACTGTTGCTACTAATTGTCTAATACTATAGCCTGACTAGTTTAGAACTTACCTCTTTGCAATGTTCTATCCAGTGTTTTACTTTCCACCTTCCTCAATGTCAGTTGATCGTTGCAGTATTGCTAGTCTGACTGAGTGCTAACTATTGCTACTGATACTAGCCGACCAGTCTAGTACTCATTGCTTTGCAATGTTTTATTCAGTGTTTCACTTTCAATTATAGTCCCCTGATCTATATAAGTCCCTCAAAATCCTTTCTCCCTGACATTGAAGCCTTCTACCATAACTGCATCACCACACAAGAATACCAGCTGGGTTTCCATGTATTTTATATTAGATTTAATCTCTTTTACTTGTTTCGATGTAGGTATCTCTCCAATAGACGTATCTTGTGGAGGCAAGGCCAGTCTCTTGCAGAGAACATCTTCCTTCTCCCGAAGAGCTTTGAATTTTTTGCTTCTTTCTTCCTTTTCCTTTATCGAAAATTTAAATTTACATCTATAACATTGGCAATATTAGCTGCACTTTATAAAACAACTACTTCTAGATGATGGAGAATAGAGCTTTCATCTAGCGTCGTCAAACCCGGTTACACGATGTTACACGAACTTTGATTGGCTAGTTTGCTTTACCGAGCCAATCAAACTTCGTGTAAGATCAGGCTTTACGCGTTGACGTCATGAGAAATGTTTAGCTATGTGTACATAACTTCTTCACTTGGGGGATAGGCATGGGGGGAGTTGGAGGGGCGGAGGAGCACGGAGCTCAGTCTCAGCGGTTTTGTAATAAATTTTATTATACTCCAGCGCAGCAGCACGTGGAGACCATATTGACCATTTTGAAATTGATTTTGAACAGTTAAAGAGTCAATCTTGGTTTCATTATTGCGCCGATTTATGAGATGGATTTAAAACTTCCCAAAGAGTCTTGTGTTGTGGTTAAACATCAAAGAACACACACTGCAGAGAAACCTTATCAATGTGATGTTTGTAAGAAAAGATTTTCACGTGCACATGGTATAGTGATTTGGTTATTCACCAAAGAACACACACTGCAGAGAAACCTTATCAATGCGATGTTTGTAAGAAAAGATTTTCACGTGGCAGTGATTTGGTTAAAAATCAAAGAACGCATACTGGAGAGAAACCTTATGAATATGATGTTTGTAAGAAAAGATTTTCACAGGCTAATCATTTGGTTAGTCATCAAAGAACACACACTGGAGAGAAACCTTATGAATGTGATGTCATTATTTCTCAGTACGAATGAGTTTCTGAAGTGGATGATTAGTGCAAAACTAATTGTCCCTTATGGTTCTGACCTGAAACGCACTGCAGGTCAGCAGGTGTAACTAAAGCCTCGTGTATTATATCAGTAATAAATAAAATCATTTGAAACCAGAAAATAACTGATCAGCATTCTTGTTATTTTCTCTTGTTCTAAATTATATCGTTAGCTTGCAGGTTAGGAGATAAATCGAAGCGCAAGGATTCAGGTTTGCTTACATTGTTATATTTTCAGTTTGAAATACGACAAATTGCTATCTCATCTTGTTATTTGTTCGTTATGGTTTTAAAATAATATGAGCTATAGTCGATAGTCCAGAAAAAATACGAAATCTAGGCAACTGTCAATTTTGCAGTCCCCACATTGTTATGAGCAGAACCAATGGGCAAACCCGACTGGACTGTCTGGTAGTTCATCGTTTTCATGCGACGTATAAGTAGTTCTGTGGTCAGGTCTCCACAAACCAGGAACAGATGTGACCAGCAACAAATATTTTGCATTTGGTCTTTTACTTATACATAATATACATAATTGTTTCAATTTTATTATGTAAACGGCTCCTGGTCAATTTTTTGTTATATTACAAATGACGTCATACAGTGCATGAGCGCATCTATAACTGAACAGAAAACATTTAAATGTTATCTATACACTAATTAACTCCGAAGAGCGATCAGAGATTGCACCTTAATTTGCTGGCGTGTTGCCTACATGCAGTATTTATGTGCAGTATTCTAAAAGCTTATTAATTACACTCAGACATATCATGTAACGATTGCATGACGGTATATGTATTGAATACTTTTATATATGACTAATTGATGGTTGATTGATATATATTAGCTGGTTAAAGAATCTGCCGAGGGAAAATCCCCCTGTCTTGTATGTGGGGAAACCCCTGATAAGTACCTTATTCTCTTCATATAAATTCCTGGTATCAACAGTATAATTACTTGGAATTGCGAGCTGTTTTGAGAACAACATTAAACGTGGTTTGCAATCAGTTACACAAGTTTGGAAATAGAGCAAATCTATCGACCGATCAACGTCCATTCAGGTTATCTTACTCCTGAAAGTGTTTCAGACAAGTCTCAGGTTCGTATTTGATATTTTCGTTTCATTTGATCGCACGTTGCTGTTCCAGAATGATGTGAACTCTTCGAGTTACAAATGATGATTAGAGAAGAAAATATAGACCATAAGACAAAATATTACTCATGTCGTGAAAAACAAGATTGCTGTAAGAAAATTGGTTAACAGATAAATAGGACAATTGAGTTTCCACTGACTAAGAAACAAATCGACTGACTAAGAAACAAATTTATTAATCGGGTTTTCGAGGATATTTTTGGGATAAACCTATAGTCCACATATTACTACTGAACATCATGTGATCAGTAAAAGGTTCTCGTTTTAGACCGACTATATATGGACAATACTGCTTCAAACAACTGTGTCTGTGCTAATCTGGGCAAACCGATCAACTGGTGTATGATATCTAAAATATGGCGCAAATGTTTTAAATGTATAAAAATAGCTCTTAATCTAGAACAAAATTTTTTTTACCCCGCAGCCTCAATCACTTTCCTCCTGATGTATCATATGTAAACATATGAATATATGAATATACAAACTCCAATTAAGTGGTCTTCCTACAGCCCTGCCTTCAAAATAAATCATTATACACAGTATATCAAAATGTGATCAAATATCAATTTGAATGATCTCACCGACTCCTTGGTCAGTCTTGTCGCGTTCAGCGCAATGGTTCCATTTTGCTCTAAAAGAAATAATGATGTTATTATAAAAGAACTCTGAAAGAACACAAGAAATTGCTGTATTCATTTTACGTTTGTAGCGACAATTCTTCCCAAAGAACGGGCGCGCACACGCGCACCGCAAAATGCCGTTTTCCTGTGCAGGATAAACGGGTTCAGCCCGCAATGGGCAGATTCTGGCAGGTTGGACATTCAAACAGGAATGTCAGCACTCCTAAGAAAACAATTATCAACAGTTTAGCTCGCTCCATTTTTGCAATGTCACTCGTACATGCCAATGAAGATATAATGAAATTATTGACGTCGTAATGAAATTATAACGTCACTAATAAATCGTTGGCTTGTTTCTAGTCCCATCCCTCTCGATGGTTTTCATGACTTGTCAGTCTCTGGGGTAAACCTCTGTTGTGCATTTTTAGCATAAAAGCATTGGGTTTAGGATTAGCTGATTGAGATTAAGATAAAGATTACAGTTAAAATCACGGTGGTGTAAAGATTACAGTTAAAATCACGGTGGTGTAAACGGATCAAACTCGAACAACGATACCATGTATAAAGTTTTAAAAATTTTAATCAAATGTCATATATCATTGCAATCAATACTGTACAAAAAAATTTATACCATTTAATATATATGTTACTGTAATCCATGTCCGTTATTACTGCAGTTATGTTCCCACCCCCCTCCTTAAAATTTTGGTAGTTCAGAATCCCTCCCCCCTCAGGATCTGTCTTTAATCCTTAAATGCTGCGAGGTTCGTCCTCGCTATTGATGGTTTCTGGCTCAACAGTAACTTCATGTTGTTCACATTGTGCGGTCTCTCCATCATCATGTGATCCTCCCTCTACTTCAGGTGCATCCTCTTTAACCACATCATTATCGGCTGGGCTGTAAGCTGCGTTGTCGACTTCAACAATCACGCACTCTATGCTCTCTGCTCGTTGAGTTACTTCAGTTGTATCTGCTGGAACAGGCTGTTGAAAATAAATTATTTGAATTAGCTTTTAAACCGTTGACTTATTCCCCTGTTGCAGGAAATAATGCCAAACTTACGTCAAAGCCGAGTATATCAATAATGACATAAGGTTCAGGTGTTTTAGTGCTTGATGTCTGCCCACTTCTATTCAGTTTTACACCAGAATTGTTACCGCGTTTCTTGCAGCAATATCTTACGCACTTGCAGCAATATCTGCAACATAAATCATAATATTTTGTTAAACTACACGTTGCCATTGGTTGGGGTTTGTTTTCTTTCCTGTCACTTCAAGGTGCTTGCTGTTAATACCTGCTGAGGACATATACCATGGTTA